AAAGACACATGCATCTGAAATTAGAGTCACTGGAATAATGACAGAGAATGAAAATAATATAATCTGGATATAATTCACAAAAATCATTAGTCCTCTGAAAACTTATTTTCATGACAAAGCCTGCAAACATAGCAGCAAATGAATGAAGCCCATCCACTCTTGTGATCGATGTTGCTATGTGAATTCAGATAACAAATGAACACACCTTTCACAGAATTTCTTCCACATGCTGTATGAAAAGGAAATATTAGAAAGTGCAAGATATCTTGGCTGGTGCAGGCATTTTTATTCCCTGAAGCAATGCTGCCATCTTGCGGTGGAAATGTTTTTTAAAAAAGTTTCCTATACCTCTTCCAAGAGATTTGGGGTTTGAGAAAAATGGAGGTGAGGCATCAACAGGGATGTGAACTGGAAAACAGCCTGAGCCCAAGGATATTGCTCTTTCACCATATACATAAGTTTCTGGCTCTGAAAACATAATGGAGATGACCAATACTCTCCCGAACTAAGAATTCTCAAAACTAAGCACTATCTTTGTTTACTTTAGTAGCTGCAGCTACTAAAGTAGCTTGCAGTGGCAAATTCAAGACTAAGTGGACTTGCACTTCTGGTGCAAATGAGACAAAAAAAAAAAAAAACAGACAGCCTAATGTGAAAAGTTGGTAAATTCCACTTCCTTTCTTTTACCTTTCACTTTGCAACTGACATCTCATTTTGCTGGATTCTGTGCAGCAGACTGAATTTGAAAGCTCAAGCAATTGAAAAAAAAAAAAAAAAAGATTTTGCAGAGTCAGATATTTAACTCAGAACAAGATAGCTCTCACTTTACTGACATTAAGGATGAAGGGACAGAGTGAAGGTTAAGGAAACAAAGCATAAATGACTTAAAGTTTAATATTAGTTCCTTTTATTGACCTTGAAAAGGTTCATGAACCAGACCAGACCAAATGGGGCCCCATTCTACACAGAGAGATGTTTTCACTCATACATTCTCACTTGCTATAGTCAGGAGTGTGTACTAACATCCCTTCTGTATATTCCGTCACTAATTTACACATACAGAGATTTATACAAGAACTATGATCACCTAAAGTTGCAATGAATTGACTAGCACGAGAGAAATACCAACTGTTATTAGACCTAGATTGAAATTTTTCAGTCATTTCTTCCCAGCTGAAAATGCCACACCAACAAAACTTACACGCCCTCAGTAGAAATCTGTTTTGAAAACTAACCTAAAGTGGGTTTAGTAAGACAAAAGTACTCTGACTTCACAACCATGAAAGAATAGTTCATTTTTTTATTTCCATGTTTAAAATATGCAATGCATAAAATCAGAATTTTAAATGTCTCATTTTATCAGCATGAATGAAGGAAATTAATAGTGTTATAATGAACATACACATCACAGAGCCTGCATGCATATTCAACTTTCTCCCGGGAATAGTGAAAATCTCTTAAAATTATACTATAAGCATGCCTAAAGATTTCATGTGTTTCTAGACAAAAGTCCTTTGTTCTTCCAGGTCACAAAACCCATTGTTTTCCTGCAAACTCTCTCACATCTGAAACAGCTTCACGCTCTCTGGGTTTGCAGTTGCAGCTCTAGACAGTAACCTCTCCACTCTCCCAATATGGAGATTTATTACAAGATATTACAAGGAGCTATTTTAATAACTCCTTGCAGGTGTCATTAAAACGAAGCGGTTACTTTCCGGTTAAAGTAACCGGCTAGTAGACAGAGGACCACGGGATTGCATCACTACTGCATAACGTTACATTCTCTCCTTCCTCTGTCAGTCTATTGCAGCTCTGGGTCTCCATTTATTCCTCTGAAATATAGTATAAAACACCATCTTGTGCACATTTCAGTAACACAGCTACACAAATAAAAAATGCTTTGATATCTTTGAATGAAAGGCAGCACAGCTTCAATTATCAGTTGTGCTTACAGAGCAACAGTAGGAGTAGGTGCAGTTACTCAGGACACCAGGCATCTGAACCACAGCTACCTCAAACCTTCTGTCCATGCCCAGCTGCTGCCACCGACAGTAGCACATAGACTAGCTGAAGACGAGCTGGAGCATATTTTAGCTCACATCACTACTCCAACAGGCACTGTGTAACCCAAGATCACCTTTCTCCTTTTCCCCACTCCTGCCGAAGGGCAAGTAGAGGAGGGAAAATTCTATCCTAGGCTTCCTAAACAAGAGCACTTGGCAGAGAAATTTTGTACTGTAAAACAAAAAAATCTGGCCCTACATAATTAAAGTGTTTTTTTGTTTTCTGAACTAGCAGCAGGATCTGCTCTTAACATTTAGTTGGAAGTCTACAGAGTCAAGAGAGATATTCTACCCACTTCTCTTTAAAACACATTGCGTTGTATTAACCACAACAATGCCCCCTAATTTTTTGGATTCAATGCACTTAAAATGTCTAGAGTCTCTCAATTCCGTACTTAGTTAATTTAGTCAATCTGAAACTACAGTCTAAAACAAATTGTGTTTAAGAAGAGATTAGAATATGTTACAATTCTCCTCTCTCTGCAAAGTCTGCTTGGATCCAGGGGTAATTGTCTCTGAATCCTTTGATTCTCTGCATCACTGTTTTAATTCTTGTAAATTTGAATGCTTTCTGGCATAAGAATAGAGCAGATATGGGCAAAGAGGAGAGAGAGTGTGACATGTATACCTGAGCTTACTCACATCTGCAAACAAAATCTGCTCATTATGTTTCCTGGCACTGGTTATCCAGCTGAGGACTTGAGATTTTTATCTTAGTTGGAGTCTGTATTTGAGATCTCTAAAAGAAATGGACTTGGGAGATACATGTATTTAATTTGAAGAGCAGCCTGACACTGTCAACAGTGACAACGTCCCTTTAAAGATAAGGGGTTTGTTTCCTTTTAAGTATTCTTTATCTGTATATCTCACCTCTGACTATTAGTCTACCCTAAAGTAGGCTCATATATTTGGTCCCTCCTACACATCTGACCTTGTCTTGTTTTCTTAAAAAGCCTATTAAAAAAGATTAGAAGCATTAGAACTATGGGGTACAGCAGCCGTGTCTGCATGGTGGAAGAGATGCTTTATAAAGCATTAGATGTTTGTAACACTGCACAAACGCATATCTGAGTAGACCAATCAACCTTCTACTGAGAACCCTATCCTTAGGAGGGTTTCTGTAGATACCAAGCGCTTCTAAGGAAGGGATTGTTGCAGTAGGAACTTAGTAGTAGAGGCTATTAAATAAGCAGAAATTTAAGAAATATTTAAGTTCAAAGATAATGACCCAATGCACAGGATCTGTCTTTTCTGAAAAACCTTTTTCGCAGATTTTCTGCCGACATAGATGAGTATCTTAAAAAAGAAATATGCCCGTTATAGTACAGTCCAAACTAACAATCTCAGTGCTTCACTAACTTGATAGATCAGTTTTATAACAATCCAGGATCCTGGTATGCACATCGTGCTTCCTTTAAAGAATGAAAAGCCATAAAGCTTACCTAACTGGCCAACTAAGAATTTCGCCCACATTAGAAAACGCCTAAAGGAGGAATTGGCTGGTAGAGTTTGGGTATCATCATCCCTCCACCACTCCATCTCTGTACCATTCCCTTTGCAGCATTTGGTTCAATGTCAGCCCTGGGAAAGCGGCCTCCTGGAAGAGCCACTATCAGCTGTTATAAGCTACCCTTCCATAACTCTGCTCCAAGCACTGCCAGAAGGTTGGACAGCAGAACAACTACTGTGAAAGATCTGAGTCGCTGAATTCCTCACAGGTGATGTGAGCTTCCTACATGAATTCCCACATCAGAGGATTTTTTTTTTTTTTTGGCAAGCAGTGAAAACTCACAACTCTATTGGAAGTAAAACGGAGCTGAAAAGACTAAGCTACTTTCAGTGTTACAAAATCCTAGTTTTATACATTTTTCTTCTTCAAAGCTTTCTTTTTTTCCTTTAGAAGCAGCAGCAGTTATGGCTGTCTGCTTGTTGGGGAGATCTGCAGAATAGTCTAAAGGCCGAGTTCAGCATCAGCATACCTGCAGTCGGAAGCAACCATCACCAATCTCTGAATTCATCGTGAAAAGTCAGATTTCTACTGACTACTTTTTATTCTAACTAAACTTCTCTACTATCAGCATCACAGTGAAAAAAATCATCTTCTGAAACTGGAGGAATTCTTCCCACAAAATTGTTTTGCAACACAATAAGGACTTTCCAGTAACATATTTCAGCCACTGAAATCACCAGTGTAATTTAATATATAGCTCCTTCCTTATGCAAAATCATGACTTAAGAGCACATTTTTCTCCAACAGATTCATAGAGTCCATTTTGAGAATGACGTAGTACGAATTCTGGATAAATCTATCCTCGGCTGTGGACAGTGTGCGTGTTGAAACACCATTTTTAGCCATCTATAAGAGTATGGTAAAGAATGCAGAATTATAAAAGAAATTTCCATGCGATTTCCTGAAAATAAATCCTTTCCTGAACCAAAAGCCAAGGATTCTTAAAGTTGGTCTTCCCTTTGCAAGTTAAGTTAAAATATTAAGTATTTCATCTTGCAGCTGTAGTTAACATACTGTAAACACAAAGTAAAGGCTTAATAGTTATCTAAACTGAGGTTTTTAAAGAGAACCTTTCTTATAAATCCCTCGAGCGCATCCAGAATTGTTAAAACTACGTATAGCCTGCACTACTGCTAAGAAGGATATGAAGAAACATCAGCATCATATAAAAGATAGTACAGTGTCATATTGAGCTTGAAGGAAAAAAGGCTTTCTAAATGCTGAGTTTTCATCCAGGCCTCCGGCCTTCATGTACATCTCTGTAAAATATGTGTATTTGACACAACACATTTGTTTCTAAAAGGTCTGGTATTTATCATGGTAGCTGACCTTACCTGAAAATATCCGGAAAAAGGGTTTTGAAGTACTTGAAAGAACTCTTAAAAGATTACCATACATATCTTTATAAATTCAACCGAAAACGTTAGTCTTATAGGAAGAAATTTTATTCATAGTTCATTCACTGAATTAATTTGACTCAACATTGCAATAGTCTCACACACAAAAAATTCTAATTCTCAATATTACCAATACCCACAGTTTTTTACGACTCTCATTTCATCAGAACTTAAAAAAAAGTGAAGCAAAAAAGTGAAGGAGAGTTCATTCACATGAGCCCTACCTGACAGAGAAAAAAATAAGTGTGCTTTCCCCAAAAGAAGAAACATCAACACATCGATACCTTACCTAGAAAATAAGCTGATAATTATAATTCATGTTCAATATAATGAGTCAGTCCGAATAAAGAAAGATGATTTACAAGAACACTGATTGTTTTGGAAAAAATACCTTATAGCAAATAGGACTTGTTTTAAGCATCTATTTTCTTTTAGTCAAATGAATCTTTTAGTGGAATACATCCTTAAGCATCCTTATTACAAGAATACCTGAACATCCAAATCCCATTATGTTACGGCCTAACTGAACAAAGGAAGGGTCTCCACCCTGAAAACATCGCTATACAACAAATGTAAAACATTATCTCTGCATAACAACTGTATCAGAAGTGGATCAAAAGTAATAAGCAGATAAGCTGACACAGCAGAAGCAAGAAGAAGCATAGAGATGTAAGAATGCCAACACCTTTTTTGCACTTTGACAGCAACTTTTCCCATTCAAAAAGACCTTCTCTTGCCATCTCCATTCCCCCTGTTTTACCTTCACCTTTAACTGTTTAATTCAGAACACTTCTGTCATCACCACATAACTAAATCTGCAACTTTTTAACATGTCTTACCTGAATAGCTGTCAATGCAGGATGCTAGCTCCTTGTAGGACAGCCTTGCTACTTTAGGTACTTGTATCTCATTTTAAATAATAAAAAAGCACATTATGTTATTTGTTTAGACTAAAAACAATACAGTTTATTACAAAAAGTAAATTTGTAATGAGATCATTACAAAAGTTGGTTTTCTGGCCACGGTGACTATGCTAGCCTAGATATTCTGTATTTCTTCTATATACAAACAATGCACATAAATCAGCAGTAGCTTAAGGAACATGTTACTTGCCACAGTATACAAACTAATATATTATAAATGCAATAGGCAGACAAAACTGGATTGAGATTGCAATACCAGAGCTATGAAACTACACTCCTCCATTGCTCCTTTATCTGGATCCCCATGTTGCCTTCCTATCTATTTTTAACATATCAGAAAGTACGTAAGTTCCCTTTCACCAGCAAAGTAAAATCTGACAGATCTACATAAACAGGAGTCTGAAGTTACTGTATTTTATGAATTGAACAAAGTGCTTTTAATACACTATCCTTTCTTGTATATTTATTTGCAATTTTTAAAACTGTCATGTCAGACACTGGAAAACACGTATGTCCTTACTATCCGAATATAGAGGTCTTCAGACTATGAAAAGTAACACAACTTGAGTATTTCACTAAGACCCTATTAGAAGTTTCAAAATTTCCAGAGAAGAATATGTTTTTTCCCCAGCCCACTCACTACATTCTACTACACTGAAATAATAAGACAGTCATAAGGACGTCCAGAGAATGTGTGTAGATACACTCCTTTTAGTTTGCTCAGCAGTGGAGTAAGAAGGATGTTTTAGTCTTATTAAATTCCTGATATTTTTTCTTGTTTTTTGGCACTGGATTACTTCATGGCACTCTAGAACATTCAGTGTCTGAATCACCTTTCATTTTAAAGAAATAAGATGAATTAAGTAGTATCTGAATACAGTTTACCTCATCGAATTTTTGTGACTTAGTGAAAACATGATTTTTCCCTTTCCTGATAAAGCATTAGACCTGCAGAAGGATGATGTCTAGTGGATCCAGATGTTTACATATGCTTGGAGAAAAATGTGAAACTATCACCAGTACCTTCTACTGAGGAAAGCGCTTCTGTATTATCATCATTTGATCTAATTCTGCAATCTAATTCAGTGTTTTTTCAAGGCAGTCTGCAAATCTTTCTCTTTTTAATAAAGAGGTGGCAATGGCTGGAGAACTGAAAAAGTCCACTGTATCGTACGCTCTCTTGTTGAGGAACTCCTCTCTTCCCCATCTTGACGTCATACTGCATTGAGAAACCTGACTTTTTCCATCACAGGTTTCTTGCTCCAAAGACTCTTGAGAAAACTGTAAAACACCTCCACTCTACAGTATGGGGGGGAGGCTTGGGTGTTGTTTTTTTTAAATTTTGTTTTGCAACTTCTCTTGCTCTGGTTACAGAGTGATACTGGCAAATGCAACTTCTCGGTTTAAAAAAGATCCTAACTGTGATCAGAACTGCTGCATTTTGCTCCAGTTTTCAAATTCACATGAAAAGCTCCCTTATCCCTTAGGCTTCTCTCGCTGAATTCAACTCCTAAGTTGAATCCAGTGCTGCTGGACTATATGACAAAAGAAGCTCTGTACTGCCAGTATGGTTGTTTACTTCAGTGGCATTGGCTACTAGTAAACAACCAACAGAGACTTCCTTATGCAATTTCCTGTTCTTTTTAAATCTTGCTATGACTCCACGCCTGGAACAGTTTGCAGTAGAATCAAGAACCTCCTGTTTGCAAGGTGTCCGAAACCTAGAACTGCCTCTGTGATTCAGAACATTATGGTCAGATTTCACAGCAGCAAAAGACTGCTCTGATGAAGGAAGACGACTGAGATTGTTGTATGACGTCAATATTATAAAAATGCAAGACATTAATATAATATTTTCCTCACTAAAGCTTTCTTGATTATCATTCACCACTGCAGTACCAAGAACAACTTTGTTTATTTTCTTTACGATAAAGGCCCATGGAAGAAAAACGTTCTGCTTCTTCCAAGAATCTCTTTGTATACAGTTCAGCTGATTTTTTTGTTTCCGTATCACGTTCTTCTTAAGACGTTTATTCATTTTACCATCACTGTCAGGAGCAGGAGGGGTTTCCCCACATAGACATCCAGGTTCTTCTGTTTTACAGAGGTTAGATTTTTCTCCTTCTCCCTGTGTCTCCCATTCTTTTCCTAAGTTTAGGATTTGTTTTTCCACTTTGCCACGTCCTTTTCCAGAGAGTTCTTTATAATCAAGGTAAGCTCCAAACTTACACAGAAGTTTAATTTCTTCTTCTGGATTGAACTAGGAGAGCTCAGAAAAAGAGAGTCGTGATAGTCACATGAAAGAAAATCAGTATATACAGTAGCTCGCAAAGTTGTCTTTCTGACAATGATATAATGTTCACTGAGAACAGGGAAATATTGTTAGTACAGTGTTAAGAATAAACTATTAAAATTAAAACCCTGAGTACTCAGAGAGATGTTAAACTACTCATCTCAAGCCTCTTCAGAGGATAATGACAGAAGAGGGCTTAATTCTGCTCCCAAGGAAATCACTAAGATCATTTTTTTGAGACTAAGGTATGTTACAAATTCAAAGAAACAAAAGAGAAAATATTAGATAAGGACATCGTGCCACAGTTAACATTTCACTAAAGACTTCTAACATCTAACTTCTTGTAATTTCTAGATATGTCTAGCTTGCAGTAGAAAAGATTTCCTGAGTTTATTCTCAGTTTTAAAAACAAAGATTTCCTTGTCTGCGTTGAAAATGGATGCACTCACCCATACTCTGACTACCATACTCTAACTACCTCAGAACTGGCATACCTGACAAAGCTAACAGTTTAGATATTTCAGCTATGGCAGAATATATTGCTCGGAAGAATTAGCTACCTTAAAAAATAAAAAGTAAGTAGCAGATAATAAGTACCTCTACCCCCTTCTTAAAAAGGCAAGATAGCTAATGTAAATGGATAGTTCAAAATCATAAATCTCAGCTACTTCCAGGACTTAGGCCTCCAAGAAAACTCAGATGCATTAAACATCTTATGCATTTAACAGTAACAGTTGTAGCGTCCTCAAATGTACATAAGCAAATAGTCAAGGAAGCAACACGACCATAATAACCATGTATTTGAAATCATATTTCTCATATCTCGTGACTTTATCTGTATAAAGCGAGTATTGCATAAGAAATGCTGGTTTGTTTTTTCTTCCATATCCAGCTCTGTAGTTCTGCCTGCGAAAGTCCCACAGATATGGTTTAACGAGATTTCTTCATACTGCATATTAGTGCCAAATTAATTCTGTGGTTGAAATAACATCTTATGTAACTAATGTTTTTAGAAAACAACATTGTCTGGGGGAAAAAAAAAGTCATTAAGGAATTCGAGCATATTGAGTGGCATCATCTGCAGCCACATAATGGATTTGAAAAAGCCAACCCAACACAAAAAGCAACTAGTAATTTGTCTGAAACCTCTCAAAACATTCACCTTCTGCAGGAGACTTAAAATAAATAAACAAACAAAAGCCCTCCACATGGAACATTTGACTCTAAATGTCTTCATTCCTTCCCTTTCTTCAAAGAAAGGGGAAAAAAAAAAGAAACAAACTAGCTTGTTACTTCATCCTAAGGTAAAGTCATTGTCTAAGCAGTCAAAGAATCAGAAACCAAAAGCAGGGAAGCTCTGCAAACTGTTTCTTATGCTATGAATTTCTTATTTGCAAAAATCAAATCATGAAAACATCTTTCTTCAAAACACCTTTTTGTGATCACTGTTTTATTCCTTTTAACATAGTGATTCCTGGCTTGATTAGCATGACTATGCACAAACAGTTGCCCTCTCAATTTTCAAAAGAGGCACCATAACATTGCTGTAACTGCTGAGGAATGTACAAAAGGACTCTCAAGACTCTGTAATCTAATTTGACTGTATGGAAATGTAGCAACCAAAAAGGTTACGTTCCTTATTTGTGAGTGCAGCAGAAGTACTGTACCAAGGTTGCCAAGAACATCAATGTTTTTCTGAGGTAACTAAAGATTCACTAACCTCTTCTTTTCTGAAATATGCGTACTACATCCTGAATAAATCTAAAGCTATGAAAATAAATGACAAAGAAATACAGAGAGAGGACTAACAAAGGACAGGTATACTACACTTTCAGCCTGTCTTTGGAGAAATGTGGGACAAGTGAAAACAGAAAGAGGCTGAAGTAGCAGTAATAAAATAGGGAAGATCAGACTGCAAGGATTAACAAAAATTTACCTTTTTAGCAAAATTTTTGAAGTTTGTAAAATGCGTTAAAAGTCAGGCTTTCCCCCCACCACCATATTCAGCAGTCAGAACAGGCCAAAAAAGTCCTAAAAGACAAATGTGACTTACTTCTATTATCTTTGATAATAACTTCTTGGCAGTTTTCACAAGGTAACCCTTTGATGATGTTGGCATTTTCTCCATTTCAGAAACCTTCGCAGACTAAGAAGGAAAAAAAAATCCACAATACACCACAGATCTTGGATGCAGAGTAGGATGTGTATGTATGTGTGTGTATGTTATGCAAACTTTCCTGTATGCGGTAGTAAACCTAGAACATCAACAAGTTCATGCATGCCTTTGGCTCTCTCTTATTCTGGTAGACAGGTTTCCCAACAGCGTATTTGGAATTTGATTTCCATTAAGTGTTTCCTTTACTGTCTGTATCAAAACTCTATACACTGATGTTAGCACTTTAAAATTTGTTCGGGCTGCTTACTGTAAATCTTTTGCTACCATAAGGAACACAAAAACAGCACATGAGTGAAGGCACAGGAAAAGAAAGGGGTAAGTTTCTTGGATAAACAATGGTAAACATTCATTCCCTACGAAAAAAAAAAAGTGGTAAATACTATATAGGGCCCAGTTCATCACTGCAGCTACAAGTATGGCACAGAGACCCTTCCGATTCATACACCCCTGCCGCTCCATGGACGCACCCTACATTACTTGCCAACCAAAGGGAAAAAAAAAAAAAAACAAGGAGCACTCCCTCCCTTAACATCAGCATTTAGAAGAACCCTCTGCTGAAAAGCTAAGCCCCATGAATGGATTTGGATCTGATTCAAAAGATTTGTAATTCGTCTCTATGTAGGCATTTCAGATGTGCTTACATCTAACAGAGCCAGTTAACAAGCCCAATCTAAATCAGAGTAACAGGCAAATGGTTACGTAGTGAACTTAACAACTGTCACAATTATTTTGCAATGGGCAAAGTAGTAATAGTATAGCAAGAAATTTACATCCTGTGCTAGCACCAATTTGGAAACCCAAATTCATATAAAAGTGCATACATTTCGGAGTCAGATCTGCTGCCAAACGTTTCAATTAAAATGTTGGGGAAACACCTGCTCTCAAGAGGCATCTTCCTGAAAGGCAGTGCTGACAAACAAGGACAGGAGTTATAATTTTTTATTATTATTATTTTCCCCCCACATTAATTCAGTTCAACCAACAGATGTACTCCAAACATTTAGATGAAAAGTCACTTCAAAAAAAAAAAATATCGTTCATACACATGTGAACAAAATGAGATTGCTTACAGAAATCAGATTCTTAAAATTCTCACTACTTAGTGCTTTGTTTTAATCTCTCACTCAGAAGAGAGACCCCTAGCTTCACAGGATTACTGTATCCATGCAGATCCCATACTCTGACAGGCTACTTATACTCCAGTCTGAATTTAAAAAACAGTCAAGAGTCCATACTGTTTCCGATCCTATGACCCAAGCAGAACAGGAGACAACTTGCTGGGAGATTTCAGACAGTGTTTTACCAGTTTGAGGATACTTTGTAGACAAGTCCCAGCCCAGCCTGACTCACACTATGTCCACACTGACATTCCTTGTGTTCATCCTTTGACAGCATTCCCTATGCCAGAGCTCCAGTGCTGGCAGCTGCCGGAGACCGGCAGCTGACATTTTAAATGCTATGTCAGACCTCTGGCAGCTCCCTTTGCTGCTGCCAGAGGTAAAGCTACATTAATTCGTGCAAGAAAGCCCCCAGCAACCCCCAAGGAGATGAGGCCTTAAAGCCGCAGAACGCTACAGATGCTCAGCAGACAGCCTATTGCAAAACAAGGACAAGGTTGAGCTTAGAGAACCACAGAGCCAGCAGCAGAGAGGGTTTTAGGCCAAGCCTCCCAACAGCTCTGTACATACAACATCCCTTTCAGAGCTGAACATAAGGTCTAAAATTAAGATATTTTATTTAAGCTCCTCTTACTCTTGCAACAACCTGAAGCAGACAGAAAGCCTGCAGATGTGTTTCCCGTCTGTGACACCTGAGAATAAAACCAACAAGCAAAGGCAGAAAACCCAAGAAACCTTCTTCATTTAAAAGCTGCTTTAGGGATGTCTCACTGTGGCACACCCTGTGCCATGTCCCTGTGGGAATACGATGTTTGCTCTCTGCAAGCTGTATCTCCACAAGCAGAAAGCCACAGGGCTGTGCACACATGAGCATCCTGTGAAAGGATAGGAGGAAAACCCTGGCAGGAAGAATGACCCATAGCTAAAGAGCAACTCCTCCTCTTCCTAAAACTGCTACAGAATAACCCAGTCCCTCCCAGTATTTCCCAAACTACAAAGTTTCTTCCCTTACCAGGGAAGAAAATGACTTGTGCAGGCACAGAGCAATGCAGACAGGGTATGCAAGCCCTGTCACTAAGCACCACTTATACAGGAATGGGAAGAGAGGTGACAGCCCCTTCTTGCTGTCCTCCCACTACCCCTGCAGAAAAGGCTGGCAGGTTCTTATCCTGGGACAGGGCAAGGGGCCCCACAGCAGAGGCTGCAAAACGAGGGAACCCAAGGCTCACATCCTGCTGTGGTCCTGCCCTTGCACGCACCAGAGCCATGAGATGGCATGTGGCGAGGTCCAGGCAGCTACCGCTTTACAGTGACAGTCCTGGCACCTTGGGAAGAAAACGTGAAGAAATCACTTCTTATTCAGGGGAAGGCCACCCAGGATCATAAGTCTGGGTCAAGGCAAATGGTCCCTATGTGTTAGGTCTCGCTGAGGATGGAAAACCACCCCCTGCATGCCCAAAGAACTGTGAGCAGTATAATTAGCACTTGTCAGTAATGTTAAACATCATCAAATTTAATCTGAAGGGTCACTGGGAACCCCTACTGCAAACCTGAACCGTTTAACTCTCCTGGGCTCAAGGGCAGCTATAAATACTTTGAGTGTCCATGCTGAGAGCAGTCCCACGTGAAGCTAAGCCACTGTTATTTTTGCACATTACAGAGTCTTATTTAGTGCTGCCTTTGCACTCTCATGGTGACTCTCCAAGAGCAATCCTCGTATGCCGTAAGTGTTAATTCAATGTTTTTTAATATACTGGCTATGTCACTGTAAGGTTTTTTTTTTTTTTGAACCTCTGAAGTCACTGAATGATTTCAGTGACTGACATTACCTTCACGGTATGCATTCAAGGCAATTTGCCTTTCTTTTTGCTTTCCCACACTTAAGCCTTTGTTACGTTGGTGCGGACAGACACATCTGCCCCTTGCCACCCCCCTGCTCTACAGGACAGGGTTAGATAACATACCAGCCCACATTCCAAAAAGAAAAGAGGTATGCCGTACACCTTATTGGTCTGTATGCTTAGAAAGAGACAGCAGATTTCCTAGCTTGCGCACACATCTTAGGTAGAGGAGCTACGGTAGGCTCCCTACTGCACTCTGGCCATGAGCCTAAGGCATCAAAATCAGTGTGAGGTTTTCTGGGATCCCTCAAACTCTACATGATACCGGCCCACATCTGTTTCCAATCTCACACCACACAAAGTGAAAGTTGTCCTGCCAGTGCATATGTTTTACTCCCAGTACCACCAGGAGGATTTTGACAAGCGCATTGAGAGGTCAATACTTTTGTTTACACTGCTAATGCCAGAAACTGCTCTGTAGTTTTAAATACACAGTGTTGAAAATTGTAAGTCACATTGATGCCGCAATATAGCGTTAATACAGGAATCCTGGGTCCTGCAAAATTCTCCGCAGGATTTCTATTTCCCTGTAATTACACCTGTAATTTAACCTTCAAATCCCTTAGATAATTCATACATAAGATTAATGCTATCATGGAAAAGAAAACTAACTTCACAAGCTAATATCTTGAATGCTCAGTGTCTTGAAACTGGTGTAGGAAGATAATCTTTAACAAAAACGTCAACGAATCTTGGTTGCTGATTAATAATTAATTAAAATAATCTCCAACTGCTTTTGATTAAAAAGGACTTAAAAGGGATTACAGCGCTAGAGAACAGAGAAGCACTTGCATGCTCACAGAGATTATAGCAGAAAACACTACTTAAGAATAGCAAAACATTTACAAGACAATGTTTACAAGTTACCTTAAAACTGAGCTTTTTTTTCTTTAACCTTGTGAAGTTCAACTTCTCTCAGAGAAGGCTACTTACCTACTCTCCTACTACACCTACAAGACTGTCTCCTACAACAATCTCTTTAAAAGGAGTGCATACCTTTTCCATAGTTAATCTCCACAGTTAATCTAAAGCTTTAATTTGCCACAGCATTCTAACATTAGAGTAGGATTTTTTTTATTCTTAATATTCTGCACATACTTCTTTAGAAGGTAGACCACAGGCATTTTCCTTTTAGATACAGTTCATAGAAGATTATGCAATGATTCTTTATCTTTAAACAATATTCTGATTCCAGCTCTTGAGTCTCAACACATTCAAGAAACGATCCAATAAAAGGCTAAAATGTAAAAACCTCTTTCTAACAACAATTACAGAAGAAGTAAAAGTAATCAGTGGTCCCTTTTTAAAGACCAGTATTCACCAGTAATTTACTCCTTATTCCTAGATTTTTATTGGCCTGCTTCACATTTAGGGAGCTAAAATCCAAGAAATGGAAATCTAGCAAAAGGCATCTTTGGAGATACCTTCAGAAACCGATATAATTGTCTCTTCTCCACCTGACATAAATTCTACCAACCCCTCTTCTGCCCTTACCCTATCTTTACTTCAGCCATACAAAGGCAAATTTTATAGCTTTTTTTTTTTTTTTTTTTTTTTTATCCGGAAAGGATTGGATGGCGCAGTCAGTAGGCAAGGAGACGGCCTAAGATTTTCTGAGAAATGCTTCAGAGCTGCCTGTGCGATTCTGGAAAAGTTACTTGAGGCTGAAACAACAAAGTGACTGGCAGTGCAATGCACTGGTGGATTGTGATATCCTGAACTTTTACAAATCTCTGCTTCCATCAGTAGAAGTGGACTTTCCAAAGACTGAAGAGGGGAGAGGCTTGCAGCTGCCTTCTTTAAAGCACTGACAATACAGAAGAGCTCTAAAACAATGCTGCATCTGGCCACGTTTCTAGTGTTAGCAAATATGAAATGGCTATTTCACTTTGCAACCCTTGGCAAATTGCTAATGAATATCAAACTTCAAGCTTTTTTAATAGAGCAAAACCATGAAAGACACGCACGGCTGTGCTGGCTCCATAAATGATAAGGTCACCAACCTCTGAAATGGGAACTAAACCTCCCACCAACAGTCTATTTGAAAAATCAGAGCTGAAGTGCTTGAAAGAAGACATCCCAAATGAATGATATTCATGTATGCTACCTCTTTACACAGGCTTTAATGAAAAAATTGAGGTAATATTACTGTGATCAAAACCAACATCAGTTTGTATTCTGACATTTACACATTTTCTTAAGATTTTGCACCCCTACCGTTTTGGCATACGGTTGAGCATAAGAGATGTATGTCAATATTCCCTCCATTTAGTTTTTACAACTTTTTTCACTACCCATCAAATCTTGGACATGGGTGTTGGAACAGCAGCATGTGAATTTTTTCACTGTAGGAGAAATGACTGAAGCACAGTTTTGAAATAGCCTATGGAGAGGGAGGTATCCAGTTCCCGCAAGCTAACTTAAAAGTTCATCCTCTCTTATAGCGAGGACATGCTATTTACTCTGCAACGTCAATGGAGCATAACTGTATTTTCGTTAACGTGATGTATGCCTTCTTGTGCTTCAGTGACGCATTGCACTAAACCTAGTAAAAAGTGGCACTTACAGTCACAAGTGCTGAAGTATGTCAGTTTTCAGTCATTCACTAATGAACTATCTCTGAATGACTGTTTGACAATCAACAGCCTAAGAATTTCACTTATACTCTCAAATCTGGTATCATTTTTAGCTTGAGATATCAGTTTCTTTGTACTGTTAATAACGAGTTAAACCTGTGCTATGTTAGATTAGCATATACATAAGACCAGGATTCCCTCCATGAAACTTGAATTATGAATGCTCCTTTTTAAAGTCTCACATGCAGAGATTAAATACTGTAGCATCCACAAATTTCAAAAGCTCACAGACATTTAATTATTAACTAGAAATTATTACACCATTAAAGATGTTCTATGCACGCATGCTACACTTGGTGTTTGTACAGTTCTAATGGCTGGAAAAATCCTGATTCTTATCTAGCAGAGACAGTTTTGTGGTAGCTACCTCTTTATCCCGATAGCGTAATATATTTAAAGCCATCGAGTCTCATGGCTTTGCCCCTAGTCAAGCACAGAAAGCAGCAAAAAACATAACAAGACCATAACACCTCAGGAAGTCAAAAGAAATTCAAAAAGTACCATCTCTGAAAACTTCTCACTCCAGGATTTTGGGTCCCTTGTGCAAAAGAGGAAAAATCCCTCAAGGTCTAGAGTCTTTGGCCCCTTAAAAAACCAAACACACAAAACAGGAGCATCAGTGGCGTAATGATAGTCACACACCATCCTCGGAGCCTCCCAGCCAGTTCCTTCACGACTGTATCTCCTTTCTCTTGCACGCCCACATGCCTATTCTGGCTTTTCCATTCGAGTACTCCCTTGCTGATTTCATGGATCTTTGGACACCACTGGGCAACAAAGGATCACCAGTGGGCTGTGCTTCTCTCAATATCTATAAATGTTGATACTACTTTTCATTATTTGTAGAATTATATCTTTGCTACCACCAAAATATTTAGTGAAGTCTCGCTCAAAAAACAAACTAACCCCTCAATCAGCAATATAACTGTTAGTCATTAACAAAAAGAAATCTTCTCTAAAAGACAACAATTCATTAATTTCATACTTCCTTTCTCATAAAAAAAGAATCATTCCATATCATTTCCCTCCTGTAGAGGGGTAGCTCTACAGAACACTGAGCTAACATAAAATATCATTAAAAGTAAGGTACTCCTAAGTTTCTGTCTAGGTGCTTCACTTCATATATTAGGGCTGGAATGTCTTGTTAAGATGAGGGACTTTAAGATGCTACACGCTACAACACCAAAGAGGAAGAATTCCTAACTCTAAGAACTCACTCACCTTTACTATATAAATAATTTAAACCCATCACTTTGTGTAGCCAAAACACATCAGGAGCAGGCTGAAATATTAAATGATTCATGTAAATATTCAGCAAGAGGATTTCTGTGCTTAGTTCAAGAAACAGAATTCATAAAAGCTATGAAATGTACCATCTACCATAACACACTTGTAAGATGAAAGCAAAACTACTGACTTTGTTATTTATGGAAGTGTCCTCTTTGAACACTTTTTCAAATGTTCACAACTACATACTGACTCCAAAACATGCTACTGCTCACCTTCTAGAAAGCAGGATGACAGTCAGGAACCTGAGGAGTTACACATTTTATACTACAAAAAAAAAAAATAAAAGGAAAATGAGGTCACTTTATTTTACTTAATCTCCACAACAGAGTTCCAGTAATCCTGAATACAAGAGATCTCAAGAATTACCCTAAAATGCTAAACTTTTTGGACATAAAATCAAGAGGTGTTCTCAAACCTGCATTCTTCCACAAGAGGACACTAAAACAATGAGAAAAATATTTCTATGAAAACATATACCTCTTCTTTAACTGCAAAGTACCATGCTTTCCAGTTAAAGAACTATTTCACAGTTGACATTAATGTATAATTACTTTTTCCTATTGCGCATTCTAGTCTTTCTGAAGATTAATATTTGATTTCTAATGTGCCTGAGGTAGCACAAAAACACAGATACACATAAGTTTTTTGCAGACAAAACCAGCAACTAATGGATACCGAAGAAATATCCTTGTATTTCCTTTGAAAGTGCGCTGTTAGCCTTAAATTTACAACGAAGCAAGCACGTGCTTAATTTCACAGCCCTATTTCAAAGAACAGTTTCTGGGCACAAAGCAAGCGCGCGTGCGTTAGCAGGATGACACCTACTTTACCTTCGCACTCTTTCTGTTGGTTTCCAGCCCCGCATTCAGTGGTGGGTAAACCCCATCCAGGTGCGAAAAGAAAATGAGTAACGCAAACTGGAGGAGCTCACTGAAACCACAGCCCACGCCCTTCATCCCACTTTGCCACGGGGCGACGCACCTGCGCGCGGCGAAGCGCGTGCCAGAGGCGTGGCGCGGCCCGC